ACGCTTCCCACGGGTCAACCCAACGTGCATAACGGGTAAGGCATTTGCCGCCTTACTCAATTGTTTCTTTCTTCTTTTTTTTTTCAAAGAAATATTCTATATCTTGTCATCTTTCTTGTCGTTACGTTCCACATGCTATTCATGTCGTTTAAATATTCTCCTCCAACGTGAACCAATTAAAAACACCAACGAAATAACAAAGGCATCAAATTGAACGACACTTCAACAACTTCCACAGCCAAAATTCATAAAAAATTCCCAATAATAGCCGCCAGTTGAGACCACTATCAAAGGCAAGTGGAATATAAATATCCAAGAAAAAAAAAACAAACAAACAATTAGTAGACTTGTGAAGAAATATAAAAGCAAATCTCCATACCAAGTACTTCTATATATTTTGAAGCTCTTGAAGCAATTCTGTTCAATACTTTTTGTTCTTAATTCTGCCCCTTTTTTGTTGTAATCTTTTCAGTTGACCCACAAAAATGGAGCTCTCAATCTCTCACTCTTCCCTTAGACTACCGGCTATTATCCCTCAACGCTGCAAGGCCTCCTCTCATGAGAAAAGATTGTTTTCAATTAAGCCCACAACCAAAAATATCAAATCCTCAGACTTTCCTTCAAATTGCTCCACGGCCAATAAATTGATCTTGCCCCTTGGGCTCTATGGAGAAAGGAAGCTCTCAAAATCCTTGTTGTACGGTCAACATAGGCGCACTAGTTCTACTATCCGGGTATGTATTACTTTTTTTTTTAATCTCTTTGCAAGCTCACATCAAATGTGGGCTATTTATAGTTTTCAGTTGAACATATTAACGAAGTTTTATGAATGATTATATTTGTATTATGTATCTATCAATCAAATATTGTTTGGTTGTATATATGTACTTTCTTATAATGAAGTTAGTGTCGGATTTAGATTCTCTGTTCAAAAAAATTGTTTTCTTGATCTATGTCCAGCCACCGCCAAAAAAAAAAAAAAAAAAAAAAAAAAAAAAAAAAAAAAAAAAAAAAATCCCACCTTTTGGACAGGGGAGACAGCCTCCCATGGGGTTGAGATCTGATTCCATGGGGTCAGTAATTAATCATGCCATAATTGCTTTTGTTGGTTGTTCAGTTGGTTTTCTATTAAACTTATCAAGTAAAACAAATGGTGTTAGGCATCCGCTGAAGCTCATGAATCCGCCAACAATTCTGATGGGACATTTGCGAAATTTTCAAAATTTGGATCTGCTTTATATAAATTCCTAAGGATCTATGCACTGAGCCATACAATTGTGTCGACCGTGTAAGTAAAAACTATTACATGATCATACATTAGAGGGAGAGAGAAGGAAAAGAAAAAAAAAAAAGACTTTGGCTAATTTATTTTTTTTATTTTTTTACAGTTCTTTGTTTGCAAGAGTGTTAGTTGAGAACCCACATTTGTTCAAATGGTCTTTGGTACTTAAGGCATTCCCTGGCTTGATTGCTATGACGCTTGCTAACGCTTACTATATCGGCATTAATCAAATTTATGACGCTGACATTGACAGGTACGCTTAATTCCTAAATATATATATATATATATTATCAATAGTTCATATTTTTAGCGTTTTGATCAAAATCATATTAAAATGAAAAGAAATGTTAAACTTACAAAATTGAGTACATAATGATCCCTTTAAAAACAGAGTTCTACTGGAAGGATATTTTCTTATACCTTAACCTAAAATTACGTTTATTAGGCAGATGTCCTTCTAGCTAATTCCATCTCTTTTTTACATTTTCAGAGTAAATAAGCCTTATCTACCTATACCAGCAGGAGAACTTTCACTAAAACAAGCATGGATTTTAGTGATATCTTTCGCAGTAGGTGCCTTGTCGATTTTACGGTTGATGAACGCAGACTGGATCACTACATCCATCTTTTGTTTTGGTCTTTTCTTGGCCCACTTCTATTCTGCTCCTCCACTTAGATTCAAGCAATCTCCTATTGCAACATCTATTGTGAATCCATTGGTATTATTATTTTCTTACCCTCCTCTAAATTTTGAAATAAAATTTTCTTTTAATTTATAAATGTTATTGAGTATGGGAAAATTCACCGTCTTTTTGTATTGTCCTATATAGCCTGTAGAAGTGGAATGTATATGCTTTTTCTTTGCGTAAATTAAATGGAATACCTTAACTTTTTGTAAAGTTAATGTTCGAGTTAATTTATACCTAGAGCATCTTATATTCTCCTTTGCATATTTGGATAACAAAAGCAATTTTTGCAGAATGCAGGTGTCGTTCACAATCTTGGTCTAATTTATGCAACCAGAGCTTCCCTTGGACTTCCATTTGTGTGGAAGTGAGTAGCAATTTTCCGGAAACATTTTCTTTTATCATTTTTTAATTTATTTACTTTTGCTTTTAATGCCTCGCTCTTTGTCTTCCAAATTATATACTTTTCGACATATTATCTCGAATAATTATGGATTTTAGAGAACTTCCAGATTATAGTGGTGTGGATCAAATAGACAAAAAGTTTACCATTTAATGGTCAAACAAAAGTCATGAACATGACCACAATTCACAAATTCACTACAATTAACTACGTTACAGTAAAACATTTTATTTTGGCTATCAATTCACATTTAAAACTCATCAACATGACCACAATTCACTAATTATTTGGCTATCAAATTTTATATTTCTATTCACTTATTTTTGTCCGTTTAATTTATATACTATTAACCGACAAGTATAACTTCTGATATTTCAGCTCCAATACATGATTCAATTTTTCATGAAATCTAATGTTTGTCTTTAAATTTTCTCTACAGTCCCTCGACTTTTTTCATCGTCAACTTTATAACACCGTTTTTTCTGGCTATTACCAACTTGAAAGATCTCACAGACATGGAAGGTGACAGCAAGTAAGTAGTACTTTTTTTTTCCCCAAATTGATCTCCAAACTTTTTGGCTTATATTTTTCAGAATCATTTACAAAAACATTCAAACATATTGCAGGCACAATATACGAACTTTACCAACCATATATGGACCTAGAAAAATTACATTCTTTTTCGTTGGGATGCTTCTGACACATTACGCTGCTGCTGCGTTGGCTGGCATTTTACTGCCTAAGGTAATTCTTTATTTTAAAAGCTGATGTTAGAGGTGAAAGTACAGACCACTCAGCTCTAGCCTGCAATTTTATGTAGTGCTTTAAAATATATATATATATATATTTTAAAAAGATGGTGTTTGGACCGGACTGGGCTAGGCTAGCCTTAATAAGCTTTCAGGCTCTAAACCTCAACCCCGCCTAGCCTGGAGGTTAAAGCCGGATCGGGCAAAGTCCAAGCCAACAATGGTGGGCCGTTTTGCCCGGCTCAAATTAGCAAACCTAGCTTACCAATATGGAATTTTTGTGGTGTATAATATAAATATCAGCAATCTTGATCATTTTTCTGAAAAAATGTCCGTAAATTTTTTCCTTTTTATTTATCCATTTGTGATTTTTTTTTCTTGTAAAGGTCAATTATTGATTTATTTAATTAAATCGTCAATTTACGATCATTGTAGAAAGGATATAATAAAAAATTTATCAAAGTAAATTATTTATTGTGTTACTTAATATGCAAATAATTTATTCATCAGGCAAAAATAGGTACATAAAACGAAAGAAAAGTTAGTTGCATACATTTTTCAAAAATATTTCATCACAGTTTCTTATTCCATTACCACTTCAACCGGTCATTTATGCATATGAAGAATAAGAACTCGTGAAGTTCTTTTAATCAATTCTATTTATTTATTTATTTATTTTCTTTTTAATGATTTCTTTTCATCATTTTTTTTCCATAGTTTATTTTGTCTTTTTAATGAGTTCTTTTCATCATTTCTTGTTTGCAGGTTTTCAATCCCTATGTAATGGCGCCCGCTCACGCAATCTTGGGTTTGTTGTTATTTTTAAAGGTAGCTCATGATACATGTACAAATTTCAAATAAAATAAAGTGTAAAAACTTCTAAAACTTGCAATTTTTCTTTTGTGGTTTCAGACAAGGGAGTTGGACAAAGCAAATTACACAGTGGTAAGACACAACTTCTATTACTCAAGTACATGTTTTCTTATATATTTAGTATTGAATTCTCAATATTGATTACAAGTTTGACTTTATTATATACGCAGGAAGCGAGCGAAACTTTCTATAAATTTATTTGGAAGATTCTTCTTTTGGAGTTTGTCATATTTCCTTTCATATAAGCTAAACTGAAAATCAACATTTTTTTCCTTTATGCTTTAGTACTGGAGAGAGAGAAACAAAAAGAGTTCTGTAATAGTGTTAAATATATTGTTGCATCTGTTTCTTGAATAAAATTACGTACCCACAACAAATTTTGTGACTATTGTAATCGTTTGATGCAACAGATATTAATTCCTTATTTATAGTATAATTAAATAAAAGAACTTTCTTGATGAATTCTTATGACATTCTCAGATTACAAATTTATTGTCGATGCTAATCTTTGTTAGCCTAAAAGTTTTCAGATGTATTATATTTGAGTAAGTCGCACAAAAACATACAAAAATGACAAAATTAAATAAGAAATATCACTACCATCTATAAATTTGAATACGCCAATTGCATAAGTACGTGATGAATATCGTGATCTAATATGTACGTATATCTTTCTTCCTAATTAACAGATTGAAAGTACAAAATATAAGAATTTTTATAGTGGAGCATACTATTTTACTTTATGAGTGAGAATATTAGGTTTTAACCGCTTGATAAGTTTTTTCACAGTTAGATTCATGCATATCCATATTAAAAATTTACAGCGTGCCACATAGAACTACTCCTACTATAGATCTAACTATTGAAAAATTAATTCAATGATAAAAATACAATTCTCACTGATGGAGTAAAATAGTATGTTGTAACAACCAGAAGAATTAAACAAGTTTAATTATGTTAATTGTAATATATTAGTGTGTCTAATATTAATTTTTCTTAATTAATCATGTTATTAAAAATTTTAAGTGCTCAATTTTAAAAATACATTTACTTTTACTTTTTCTCTAAACACCCTTTACTATATATTTTTAAAATTTTTCCCTTCTTTTTTCTTTTTCTTTTTCTATCTTTTCCTTTTCTCTCTCTCCTTTTCTTTTCTTTCTTATCTTTCTCTTCCCCTGCAGACCACTCCCCTACACTCTCTCTCTTTCTTTTTTCTTTTTTCTCTTCTCTCTCTCCTCTATTTTGCCCCCAGCCGGCCTCCCTCTCTCTCTTTTCTCTCAACCACCGGCCACCTCTCTCTCTCCCTCTCTCACCGGTTTTTCTTTTTTTCTCCCTTGCTCTCTCTCTCTTTGTCTCACTACAACAAAAATGGTTATTAGCGACAACATTTATCGTTGCAAAAATTATAGTATTAATGACATGTCGTCGCCAAAAAAAACTAAAATTTTTGAATGACTTGTCGTCGCATTCACTATTTGTGACGACATGTTGTTGCACAAAATTTCAATATTTACGACAAAATATCGTCGCTAAAATTTGACAAATTATCCGCGACGACATGTCGTCGCTAATAGCCGTTGGAGCCAAAACCAATATGGCGTCAACAATTTTGGCGCCAGTTTGTCCATTATTTGCGACAACATTGATACGTACAACTGGCGGTGACGTGGCCAAAAAGAGGCAGAAAATTTGATGGTTTCCTGTGAATATGTTACAGATATTTCTTTATTTTTTACAATGACATATTGAAAAGTCATGGCAAAAAAATGGTTCAAGAAAATTCTTTTCAGAAATGCTGTTTTTGCGACTACACGTGTCGTCACAAAAAAGGGTTCCAAAAAATTCTATCATGTACGACTATTTTTTGTGACGACTTGTTTAATAATGTCGTTGCAAATAAGTGGGAATTTAATTTTCTCCAAAAAAAAGGCGGAAACTTTGGCGGTTTCCTAAAAATTATTTGCGACGACATCTTAACAAATTCGTTGCAAAAAATGAGCGCGGGTATATTCCTCAAGAATATTCTCAAAAATATTAATGAGGTGAGGAAGAACGATAATTGTGAGGACTATTTAATATTTTTTGTGACGATAAATGTCGTCGCAAAATGTCAACTGTATAAACGCAATCGCAGACCTCCTTCTGCCATTTTTTTTTGGTGAGTTCTCATGTTTTCTATGATTTTCTCCATCCAAAACCTCCAAAAACCGTTGAAAAACACTTAAAATAGCTTAGTATTATCGTTCTCTCCTCAAATCTTTCATTTGTGGAGAAAAAACTCCAAAAAAGTGGAGTTTTCATCTCCCCCTCGCCACCCACTTTTTTGGCCGTCGTCGTCATTTTTCAGTCGCCGTCGCCCTTCCAGCCCTGCTACCATACCGTTTTCTAACCCCCTGAGTTTGTGGGTTTAGATTTTGTGAGTTAATATATTGGTATTTTATAAATTAATTTTGGTATTCTGGTTGTGGTTGATGGTTTTCTTTTTGATTTTGAATTTAGTTTGTGGTTTTGAATTTAGAATTGTGAATTGTAAATTAGAATTGAAATTGGAATATGTGGTAATGAGATTAAAATTTGTATGAAATTTATCTAATGATTAAAAAAATTAGAAAAAAATTTTAATTAGTATTACGTTACTAATAAAATAATTAAATAAACTAATGTTAATTTTCATAAAATTTAATAAAACTTTATAAATTCTTCGTAATGGAGATGGCTATGGACAAGAGTTTGATACATTTAAAGAACCGGTTGTCTGATTAGTACTGGGATGGTTTGTGTGCTTTTATTGAGGTTGGAAAGAATTATGCAAATTTAATCGGGGGTATTAGTTGTCCGTGTATCAAGTGTAGAAATCATGAGATACTGCCACCAGAAATAGTGAAAGCACACATACATCGATGGGGTTTTGACACAAGTTACACCACATGGATTCACCATGGTGAAGTACGTGTTGCTCCTGCAGTTGTCAATGAACCTATTAATGAGATATTTGTAGTGCTAAATGATGTGGCTGGGATTAGTGATGATCATGAGACAATGGGTGAGACAAAAACAGTTATAGAAGATACTCATTACGATGAATTTAAGGATCTCTTATCAGAGCTCCAAGTCGGATTGTATCCGAGTTGCACTAAGTATTCATCATTGAATTTCTTACTGAAACTAATGCATCTAAAAATTTTGTACAAGTGGCCTAATGAGTGCATGGATGAAATGTTGAAGCTACCCGTCACACTGTTAAGGAAATGATGTGGCACGTGCAGGGGCATTCGAGGGATGAAGACTTAATGCGTCATCCAGTTGATGGTACGGAGTGGAAAGATTTTGATGAAAAACATCCACAATTTACACGTGAATCGAGAAATGTTCGATTAGGGTTAGCTACTGATGGTTTCAACCCATTCAGGAATATGAGTCTATCATACAATATGTGACATATTATTATGACTGCATATAATTTACCCTCGTGGCTATGTACCAAAGACCCGTATAAGATGTTTACGTTATTGATTCTTGGTCGCAATGCTCCTAGGAAGGATATTGATGTGTTCTTAAGGCCCCTTGTGGATAAGTTAAAAGAGTTATGGGATGAGGGGGTTGTTGTTCGTGATGCTGCTACGAATACTTCGTTTCAGATGTGGGCTGTGTTGCTGATGATGAATAGAAATTATGTACTACGATTATTGTTTTAATAATTACAATTATTCATATAACATAAGAATTATGTAAATAAGATAATAACGTTTATGATGACTTTTAACAGGCAATCATGTCTGGCCCAGTCGCTACAAGTCCTGGCTCTTCAGGGGGAGCACAGCCTCCACCTGAAATTTATAGGTTACTATCACACTGTGAGTCTGGTATGTTAGAACAAAATTATAAATTTGTTAAATTAATTACATCAGTATTATATGATCACTAAATATATTTCATTCTACAACACCCGATGTCGCACCTCGATAACGTCGTGGAGGTCAAGGGAAGGCTAAGTGTAACACCCGCCCTAATATGGCTCTAAATTATCCAATTACTCATATTAAGTAGTGTTACTTCTTCACCTTCCCTTCAACTTAACCTAAGATGTTATACGTATTAAGTATGAAAATACGGGCAAATTTAAACTTTTAAAACTTCTTAATAAGTAAAGATAATCAAAATATATAAAATATACTCCAACAGGCTGGCCAAACATATACAATATAATACACCTATCAAAAATAGGCTCAGCCTTATACTATGTATACCCCCACGGGCTCACATAATTCCTAAGTACAACGAGCGCCTCCAAAATACATGTCAGTTAGTCCATATACACATGTCTCAGTCCTCAGGATTGCGTCAGCCAACCATCTAGTCCATAACTAATGTTGAGATGCACCCTCATCTGCACACCATAAAAATAAGTGAGCTAAAGCCCAGTAAGTAAAATAATGCATGATATAGCAACAATGAGAATATGCACGAGCTCATAACTTGTTAACATCATCCATTTTAACTTTTCATTCATTCTTTTATCTTATGCGCGTATTTACTTAGACGAGGTGGTATTCCAGATACCTCATCGGACCTTGTGGCCACAACATACATAACATCGAATGCCGTCGTGTGGGGCAAAACATATTTTTCATAATTAAAACCAATTCTTCCTCATGATCATCGAGGAAGCTTCCCACACCGCAAGTCTCTATTAAGACAAAGGTCCTTCGACCTAGTGATCACAAATTATATTATAAAATTTCGTCACGTGGAGCTAATTATAATAAACACAAATCCTTCCTTGTGATCATCGAAGAAGCTTCCCACGCCGCAAGAGGTCCAGTAGTCTCCTTGGAGACAAAAAACCCATCAAAAACTACAAAACCATCATTTAACTCTCTCTTCAATTTTAATATTCATTCTTTTCATTTTATGTTCAATGGTACATATCTTTATATCATGTCATGCACGCATGGTTATGCTAATATCAATAACACATGTCTCGTATACTCACGTATCACAACTTTGAATCACATAGTATATGCACGACTTTTATGGTGACACGGGTGATATTTTACTTACCTCGAGCCTTAGAACTGATTTTGAGGCTCTCTGATATCCTCTCAAGGAATCTAATGTTCCACTCATCTGAAACGTTGAGTATTTTAACTAACATTATCACCCGACCAACAATCACTAACAATTATGTATTAAGGAGCTCATTTTTTAAACTTTTACTATTTTTTTTAAATATTTAAATAATTAAAATAATATTTTAAATAATTATTTTAAGTGACAATTATAAACAATAGGGTTTCATAGGACTTAGATGCAAGAAACGGTACCAAAAATGGACTCCGGATCCCTGAAAACCCTTGACTAGGCTATTTGGCCTAGTCAAGCCGTGGCCTGGCCAAGCAACCCCAAGGGCGTACCAACCTAGGCGCCCCTGGCCAGCCTGCGCACTCACGGGCATGCCC